AAAAAAAAAGAATAAAATGGCAAACAAACTCTGACTAGCTAAATTCATTTGAGGATGTTTCCAGAATAATATTCTGCATTAAAAGAGATGTGACTGAAATAAATTGGTAGCTGGAACAGAGTGACTAGAGCTGAAGTCCAATACAGTGATTACTAGTCACATGTGGGTACTTAGATTTAAGATGAAATCAAATGTAAAATTCCCTTCCTCAGCCACAGTAGTCAGATCACCAATACCCCAAAGCTTCACGTAGCCAGTAGCTCCCATACTGAACAGGGTAGTTCAAAAACATTTCTGTCATCACAGAAAGTTCTACAGGACAATACTGCATTGGAACACAGAGTCTTAAGCCAAGAAGTAAAATTCCAAGTGATCTTCCAATAATGCCATGGATGTGTGAAAAGAGAGAAGATTCCTAAGAACTGATGATACGTAGCAGTTGTAAAACACGCCTAGAAAGAAAGTCCTACACTTACATTAATATCAGCAAGTTATACGACATAACATCAGAGGAATGTGGACATTCCTCCCCTCCAGTTCACGGAGGTACTAGGATGACAAAAGTTGTATGTTTCTCAAGATAAAACCGTTATTCATAGAAGAAAAAGCTGGTAATAAATATGAACATATCTATAAGATCGAATGAGCTTTCACTATTGCCCTACAAGGCTCCCAACAGGATCAAGAAGGATCAGCAACCATATTCTACGAGGGCCCAGCAGTACCAGGAGCTCCAGGACTTGCACAGGTCGGGAGAGACACAGATTTGACAACCCAGCTGTTCCCCTCTTCACAAGAGCCAGGGTAAACCAAGGCCATTTTAGGGTACACTGTTCATGGATATATAAAATAGCAGAAAAAAGTAAGATTTTTTTAAAATTCTTATTCCCTGGGCACACATCTTAGCAGGCAGGGTGGAAGGATGATTTAAATGAGATGTATTATTCAAGTTTTCAGTTCACCAGACATTTCATAACCAAAATAGTTAGTCACGTTGCGGTATCTATCTGAGATAGCATGAAGGGATCTATTATACAGTGGTCGAGATGTATTTCAAGAGAGCATGGCTAGAAAATTAGGAATCAGAGAAAGATTAAAGACTTCATGTTTATAACCCCTTATGTAAAAAATGCTCAGTCAAGTGGTTATGTTATGATGGAAACCCTGATGGTTTTATGTTTTGTTCAAATGTATTTTATGTTAGTGAGACTATGTCATCCCCAGATTATTATTATTTTCAATTCTCTCTTTCTTCACTAATACAGAAAGATCAAAAGGAAAGGGCATGTAAAATTTAATTCAATAGTAAAAATGAATAATGTTTCTTTATGGTCATATAATAAATCAGTAAGGGTTAAGGACATTAAAAATTCTTTAAAATTAAGGTCAAATTATATGAATGTAAAAATTATGAATAACAGAGAAGGTTGTTATATTTTAACTATGAATTTTATGGCTATTTATAAATTACCACCAATAGCTACATTTCTATTTTTTGATAATAAAAAAATTCATTAAAAAAGAATGAAATGAAAAAACAAACAAAAAAAGAATGAAATGAACTAAATAAACAGAATATATGGAGGGTGCAAAAAAATACACATTTTAAGAAAGGAAAAACATATGCTAAAATTGGAATACTCAAACTCACATTTGACTTCTGAAATTACAAGAAATACAAAATATAACATACAAGATAACAAATATCAATGGTATAGAATGAGTACTACAATTTTAATGCAGTTTTTTTCTTTCTTGAAATATGTGTACATTTCTTGGCACCTTCTGTATAATGAACATTTTCTTTACCAAGCCTCACATCCCCATAACAATATGGCTTATGTGAAAGCAAAACACCAATATTAAATTTTAAGCATGGATTCTGTACTGTTTATGAAATAGGTTAAGTCTGAAATTAGGAAAAATTGAATATAATAAATTAGGACCCATAAAGATCAAATCAATGATAGACATAATTCGATCTATAACTCAATGGGAGGTGCATTTCTGCAACTCAACATAGTAAGTTCAAAGAACACAGAACTTCTTTCAAAACTGGACCCAACCCTCTCAAATCCTGCCACTGGTTTATCAATAAAATTCATGTGCTATTCTACACGCTTTGTTGTCATTTCAACAGTGCTCTCGGCACCTTCACCAGGAGGAGACTCTGTCCAAAGAAATGGCTTCATTTGCTCAACCACAAGCAGCAACTCATCATCCTCTCAGGTTTTATAACGAGAACACAGCCATGCAGTTTCATCTTCAGCCCTGTTCTATTTCCAGTTCTCTTGTTATTCTGAGATGTGCAGCTATTACCTCCACTGAAGTCTTGAAACCCTCCGTTATCCATGAGGTTTGGAATCAACTTCTTCCAAACTCTTGTGATAATTCTGCCTCCTCCCATGAAAAACATTATGTTTTAAGAGCATTAGACGATGAATTCCTTCCAGAAAGTGTTCAATTTACTTTGTCCATATTTACTAGAGGAATCAATAGCAGGGATAGCCATAAAATGAATGTTTTATGTAGTAAGACTTGAAAGTCAAAATTACTCCTTGATCCACGGCTGTAGAATGGAGCTGGTGTCAGCAGACATGAGGAACATGAAACTTGTACACCTCCACCAGAGCTCTCAAAATCAGTAACATTTTGAAAGCAATCTTTTTCTGAGAAGTGGTAGGTCTTAACAATGGGCTTAAAATATTCAGTAAACCATGCTGTGAACAGACGTGCTGTCATCCAGGGTTTGATGTTCCATTTATAGAGCACAAAAAGAACAGATTTAGCATGATTCTTAAAGGCCCTGAGATATGGGCGGTGCCTGTGGCTCAAAAGGGTAGAGCGCTGGCCCCATATGCTGGAGATGGCGGTTCAAACCCAGCCCCGGCAAAAAAAAAAAAAGACCCTGAGATTTGCAGAATAGTTGAGCTGTAGCTTCAACTTAAACTTGAAGCCCCTAACAAGAGACTCAGCCTTGTCTTTGCATCTTTCAAGTCAGGCATTGTCTTCTCTGTGTTAGCTAGGAAAGTCCTAGATGGCATTTTCTTCCCATATAAGCCTGTTTCCTCTACACTGCTAATCTGTTGTTCAGTGTGGCCACAGTCACAGTGGTCTTAGCAGGCTGCTCTGGGTCACATGCTGCAGCCTCTCCATTAGCACCTGCTGCTGATGTTACGGAGACGGTTTCTCTCCTTAGACCTCACGGGCGAGCTCTGCTAGCTTCACACGTTCCTCCGGCAGCCTCCTCAGCTCTGTCTCAGCCTTCATAGAGACTCTCCCAGGATAGTCAGGTGCTTGCTTTGGAGTGTTGTGACCAGCTTGCCAGCCCATTTCCCTCCTCCTCCCTCCTCCCCCCAGAGTTGACTCAGGGAACAAGGCAAGTCCCTCCTCCCCCTAGGGTGGCCGCGAATGTGCTTCCCAGACACGTTCCCAGGCTCCTTCCCCCCGGGGTTGCCAAGAACAAGCTTCAGAACAAGGAAGAAAAGTCCCAAGTTTCACAAAACCCCTAAGTTCTCAGGAGGTGAACAATGGTAGAAAACTCACAGAGACTTGATTAATTACTGTTGTATAACCATAACCATTGTGATATGAAATGTATCCATTGTCAA